GGGCCCCGCAGCCTCCTGACCCGAACAGGGCTCTTCCGGGGCCTTGGCTGCCCCGTGTTTGGGGGACGGGGCCCTGTGTGGTGTCCTCCCTGCTCCGGGGTCTCCGAACGGAAGCCTGCCCTTCGCCTGCCTCCCCAGGTGCCCCAGATGGTGCACCCCGACCTCCGAGCCCTGGGTGTCTGCCTGCCTGCGGGTGGGCTGGTCCTGCCCCCTGGAGGGCGGGCGCAGCAGCACTGTGTGCACCCAGATCTGAGGCGCGGGGCACGGCCAGAACACCCTGACTCGGGACCAGAGGCCTCAGCGGCCCCAGCCCACCCCAGGCCTGGGGGGGAGGACGAGGGAGGACGGGAGAGCCCCGGTTCAGAGGCCCCGTGGCCAACAGTGCCCGCTGTCCCTGCTCTGCCACAGGGTGGAGGTCATCGCCAAGCAGCTCGGGGGGCTGAGAGAGCAAGAGAAACGCATCCGGGGCCTGGAGTCACAGGTGGGCTGCCAACCAGACCCTGCCCCCTCCAGGCTAAAGCCGCAGCCAGGCTGGGCTCAGCACCCCCTGCCCAGCCACCACCTAGAGCAGGGGTGCCCTCCCTAGAGGGATCCTGTCCCCTCGACACACCCCTGGAGCCGTGCCCTCCCGCCCTCTTCCTTCGAGTGAAGGCAGGGTCCTGGCAGGAGGGCGGGAGGGTCCGGGGGCTCGGCCTGGACGCCTCTCCCTCTGGCAGGTCAACTACTGCACGGTGCTCCTGGCCTCCGTGGCCGACAGGCTGCCCCTGGGCAGTGCCCACCACAGTAAGTGTGTCTGGGAGGCCCTGTCCCTGCCCCCTGCTGCCCCGCCGGTCCCGTGCAGAGATGCCCTCTGGCCAAACCCCTGACCCAGCCAGGCCTGAGGGTGGTCTCACAGCCCCCAGGGGTCCCAGGCTCCCCGGGCGGTCGCCTCTCCCTCCCCTCGGCCCCTCCCCCTCCCTCCCCTTAGCCCCTCCCTGGGCACTGCAGTGAGCAGCCCTCCCCACGCCTGCCCCCAGACTCTTGGAACTTGGCCGTGGGGAGTCGGCAGGCTCCTGCTGAGCGTGGAGGGGCCGGGGGAGCAGAGACCACCCAGAGGCCGGCCGGCCCGCTGCTCTCGGACACCTGAGCCACTTGGACCGTCAGCACACGGGCCCCCTCTCCCGGAGCCCTAGGCCCAGACCGGGTGGGTGGGGGCCATGGCCCTTGGCAAGCTATCCCAGGTCCAACCCACACACTGTGCCCCCCCATGCCTTCATCAAAAGGAGCCTCAGAGCTGCCCGCCAGCTGGCGCCAGGACAGCGAGCGCTCACCGAGCCCCGTCCACCTCCCGCCTTGGGGCCCACACCAACCTACCCCCTACCCAACCCCCACCTGCTAAGAAAGTGATGGCTTTGACGTGCCGGCTGGAGCGTCTGCCTGTGCCTGTCGCTCCCGCCCGCGCCCCCTGAAGGCGGCTTCACCTGGGACGGAGCCTGGAGAACAGGCCTCACCCGGTCTGCACCCCACACCCGTGGGCCCTGGGAGGCATTCAGGTCGCCGAGTTGTGGACCCTGTGCCGCGAGAAAGGCTCCCTGGCCCGTGGGTTGGGGTCAAGGCGCCCCCGCCCCCATGCGAGG